TTGCTTGAACTCAAGACTCAAATCTTTTCTGGCATGATGATCAATTTAGCAACTAATTCTCAGCTAGAACAAAGTTATTTAAATTTGCCAGTGTTCTCATTTTATTATCTTAAGGTTGAAGAGAACTTTTAGATATCCAGTAAAAAAAGAGTAAATGAATTGAAAGATCTTCAGTTAAGTTCTGAGAACTTGCAACTTGCCAAATAACAGAACTCAAGTAAGACTGAAAACTTTGGGGAACATTAATACTGCTAAATACTTTGAAACGATTTCCACTAGAATTAACAAGTATTTTTAATTGAAGACTGTTCTCTTAAATTACTACAAATGTTCATAAATTGATGTTCTTATTAAGTATTAGTATTACCCAATAAAATGTAAAAGTGGGAATTTAAGAATAAATAAAAGGAAAATAATTAACACCAAACAAGAATGCCTAGAACTCACTGACACAGGAGATAGCCGGGGAAAAGTTCCATCACTGAAATATTAATTACACGAATAAAAACATCTGAAGTTCCTTAAGATTGATTCCTCAGTACATCTGTAGGAATTTGTCATCATTTCTTTGGGTTGTATCCCCAAAAATACATCCTGTGTGGCAAGACGCCCCATTTGCTCAGTCCTGCTCACCTCCCCCCCAGGCAGTGACAGCGGCTGACAGCGATGGCCATGGCCTGAAGAAAGCTGCACGGCTGGTGCAGCCGGCTCCTCAGTCCCTCTGTCTCGTTGTACAGTTTTAAAGCTGCATGTTTTTATTTCTTTCCCAGAGAAAAGCCCCTGCCCTAGAAACACTTGCACAACAAAAGACAAAGTGGAACGCTTTGAGAATCACCCAGACTGGCCACGTACAGAGCGTTTTCTCTCGGCACTTGGAGGTGTTGTTTGTTGCAGTGCAGAAAAACACAAGCAAACCGAAATGAGAGCTCTGATGGTTTTAAGTTTCCCTTTCAATTACCCAGCTCCTGCCTTCACAGACAGCTTGTAGAAGCGTGTCACCCAGCTTTCCTCCTGACCTCAGGCTTAAGGGCTTCATCTGTACAAAATAAACTGAGAATAAGTCCATGCTGAGGTACCGAACTGGGACAGAAACGACCACAAAAACATGAACAACGCTCGACGCTACCAGAAGTAAATTAACTCTGACTAAACAAGCCGTGCAAACAGGGTGAAGTCACACTGTAAGATGGACTTTCACACAGAAGGCAGCTATAAACTGAGTGTGGCCTGCAAATCAATCAGCCCCCTGCCTCTACCTAATGAGACCTTTTTCTTTATTGCATTTTTATAGACTTATAAAAACGGCATAGGATGGATTATACGGGCCGTCTGTCTGCCCCGTCCATCTGTCACTGCGCTATTGGTGCTCACCCCAGCAGAACAGGATAGTACATAGCAGGGGTTGCAACTTGAGGGAATTTAGGACCAATTCGGTGACTTTTAAAAAAACAAATAAAACAACAACACTTACGCGACCTCCTCCCCACCAAAACGCCGAATTCCAGCACTGCTAGTTTGTAAAAAGGACCGTTAAATCCCAGTGAGTCAACAGGAAAGCTTGCCTACAAAGGCAGCACAATACTTGAACAGCGTTTGTGGCAGTACTCGTGTGAATGTCAGTCCTAATTTATGTTAAAAATACAGACAATTTCTCAGAACTCTAAATGGAACATAACCAGTTAAAAAAAACAAGTTATGTCTATTTGGGTAGAATTACTTGAAAGTTCTAGGATAATGACTTCACTTAACGTGCATTAAACAAAGACGTTTTTGGAGCTATTCCCGCACAATCAAAGCTTTCCTGTTCACGTAACTCATTTTTGTGATTCTTTATTTTGTCAGTGTTGCTGTAAACAATGTGCTGCCCATGGCAGGGCGGGGAGACCAGAGATTGTTTAAGGAAAAATAGTCATCCCTCCGCAGAATTCTGTAGTTACATTTACCAGCTGCATAAGTTTTCTGATAAACGGCCAAAAAGGGTCACCGTAAAGCAGCGCTCCTTTAAAGTTGTAATCCCTATTAAAGAAAATTATCTGGACTCTCTCCAGAAACATTTTGGGGGGGGGGGAGAGAGAGGGGTAAAAGCTTCCGCAGAAGATCAAATGTTGTTGATTATAAATTCATTACCAGCATAGCTGCTAACTTCAGTAAATTAACAAGGAACTTTTATTACATCCAATCAAGGTCTTGTTAAAGATAACAAGTTCTTTTCATTCCTTGTATTTGTATAACAGTCACTTCTCTGGAACTCATCAAAGCTCGTTGTGAATCCATGCCAAAGTACCACTCTCTCTTTTAACAGCTTTAAGAAAAATAATGAAACCTTATGATCACAGTGAAAAAGCACTGATTATGTAAAAATATTCCAAGATAAAAGATTTGGAGTTGCAGACAAAGCTGCCGTAGCATCGGAAAAGACAGTGATATTCCACAGCAGAAAAGTCTTAAACTGATGAGTTTTTCAAGCCTGTTTTTTATTTCTTTGTTTGTACAAAATAAGCTGAGCTAAACATCCTCTTTATGAAATCTGATAGCGTAACAATGATCCATTATGGTTTCACTTTAGAGCAGGCTTTCACTCAAATATTAATTGCTGAAAACCTGTTTTGCATAATCAGTTCAACCATATGATTATGTTAAGAATCTATCAAATAATCAAAAGTGGGAGGAAAGAATCCTTTGCTTTGAAGCTCTTCGCTAATCATACATTTTAAGGCAAGTTAAGGATTTTCCAGAAAATAACTACATCAAAAGCAAACGTCATGGGACAGGCTATTGAACTGAGATCACTTTCTTACATGCCATGATCCAAACAAATATTTTTCATCCACTTCATTTGTCTGCCTTCCAAGTTTAGTAGCAATGAAAGAAACCTTTCTAGAAAATGTTAAAGAAAGTTCCAATACATATTGAAATCAGTGCCTGGACAAGATGAGCCCAATATGTGATGTCTAACTTACAGAGTAACTGCAACAGAGTATGATAAAAGCATACACAATTGATGAGATTCATCATTTAATAAAGTGAAAAAAAACAACCCAGTTTTTCCTCAGTCCCACGCCTTACCATGCTAAAGAAAGTAAAACCTAAAGGATAATGCATGCTTTTTTTAAATAGAGCAAATAAAAAAGCCTTCCTATATACAGTTAGATACTTCCACATTATTTTTAAAGTTTTTTGTACAGTCAATCAATAGCTTATTGCTTATTCCTGAGGTTGTTTGAAGCCCTTTGTTCTACCAAACTATTTAAGAAGGAATTTTCACTGAAATTGCAGTTCTTTTGTTTATTTCTTTTCTATGTCTGTTGGCCAGGAAGAAATACTCATGCACAGAGAAGCTGAACATGAGGATGGCCATTTCTTCTCCTCCCAGTAGGATACAAGTTGTATCTGGGCAGCCTTCCATCATCTGTTGTCCCGGCATAGAAGTGTTTGAAAATCCTCTGTAGAGGCACAGTCCAAAAGTCAAGAGGTGAAGCTGAGAGAGCAGCCACCTGCAGCCTTTTTATATCTGCATAATATCAAATACATTCAACTTAAGATGTTCTTGGAGAGCTCTTGCATCCTGTAATTACCATGTAATGCAACCCTCCTCTCCGAAGCAGCCTAAGATTCATTGGCTCTGGTTAGATAAAAACGATCATTGTTAATCAGGCTAACATTATGTAATGAGCTGATAGGAGGCCTATGGAGCAGCACAGAGGTTTGGAGCCAAGCACTGCTTTGACTCAGGAGGCTCAGTGCTGCTGCTGCCGCTGATTTTCAGTGGAGCCTCAAGCAAGTCCCTTTGACTTTACGGCATCTCCTTCATGCCATGAAGACAGAGGGAAGAGCTCCATCTTACTGCTGGTTGGATGCTGTGCCAGCCTTGCTCTTAGCCTACTCCTCTCAGCTGTCCTCAAACACGGACAGAGATGCCATTTCCTCAGAGTCATGCCAGCAGCAAGTCAGCAGCAGCACACTGTGCTTGCTGTTCTGCCAACCAATCCTGAACAAACCTACCTGATACCTGGGCAGCTACAAGTAAAGTGGAAACACACCTTTGTGCACAAGCAGAAGAAACCTCATACACAATGTGAGCCTTAAAAAAATGAAAACTAATTTCCCCCATACACCCCTCCATTTGCTTCCTGAATGTGGAAAACCTAGCTAAAGTTGAACTGCACTATGGTGTACTGCTGTTTCTGGAACATGAAAAGCTCCTTGCAGATGAGATCTCCATACATGCTGCCCTGTTACCACAGCACAGCATCTCTCCTACAGCTTACAGGCTCTCTGCAGAATGCAGCAGAGCAATCCTTGCATTCACAAAGCACGTTCTTGCTGCCAAAGGATGCACAGTCAAAATGAGATCTTGTAAGGAGGAAAGAGAACACACCAGGTAACTAGCCTAACAGGCAAAGTTGCTGGAAAGAATCTGTCCATAACAGATGAGGGACTGATGGTGGAAGAGGAATCACAGAAAAGATGACAAGTGGATTATGTTCACAGAAAGTTCCTCTCAAATGGCCAAAAGGGTGAATTGGTCCTTGGTACCAGAAATCACCACAAATTAGCTTCCTCTTCTTTATAGCATACTAGCACATTCATCTTCATGTCTAAGCAAATCAGCTGTCACTGATGGCATGTGATCTGTGACACCAAGAAAACCCACAGTCAGCTTTCCCTTTAAAAGCAAGGGCTCACTATAGCAGCAGCCAAAGCTGACAGGCATGCTCCTTTGCTTGTGGCCTCTCTCGTTCTTTAAAACAAGCAAAATGTCAGAAAAGCAACATCGTCAGTCAGCACACAAATAATATACTGAAGGTTTTTCCTCACAGCAGCAAGCAGAAAGAACCACTAGCAAAAACCATGCAACTCTCCAAACTAAATACAATATGAAGATTTGTTTTCTATTTTAAAAACTTAAGATGTAGCTCCCCACGAGCAGAAAATTTGTAGTAATCAGTTATATAACAGGACAGGTAACAAGACCCATACATACATTTCCTCCTGTGAGCCACAGATTTATTTGCTGATACATGATATGTAAGTATTCGAAATCATGTACAAGCCAGCAACAACAATCTCTGCAATTGATATTTATTGTGTTCAAATTCTAAATTGAATTTTGCACTTAAAAATCAGAAAGTGACCTGATTGGGTACGGGAAAAATTTTCATTCTGGTACCTACAGAAATTCCACATTATTAAATACACACTAAGCCCTTGTGTTGTTTTGTTCTATCCTTTCCCTGTTTGCTTCATTTTTGTACTTGACTTTCATCCCATTAAATTCATTGGCCAAATTAGTCACTCTTATCTGCTTTAAGAATCATTTCATAATTAGCAAAATAGGAAAAAAAAAAAAACAGGTTGTTTCCAATTCCCTAAAACCCAAATCTAATCCATCCGCTCCAGCATCCGCAGATGGTAAGCGCAGTACGTCTCCTCATTCATATCAGTAATGCTAGCTGTTAATACCTACATACAAAAGCCTTTTGATCTATACAGGAACTATTTGTATGGCCTAGTTCTGTACTCATTGCTGAGGCAAAACTAACTTCAAATCAAAGAAAGCTTGGCTCAATTAAAGTCTACCAGGAAAGAGATCTCCTATTGCTCTTGGCAGTAAACACACTGGAAGAATCCCAGTAAGAGGCACTGTATTGTGGAGCTATATGCCTTTGCATCCAGCGGCTGCAAGAACGTGTTTCAGCTCTATGGGTCAGCCCTGTTTCAGTAAAGCACCCACTGGTGGCAATATATGGAAGGCTTTTTTTGCAGAGCCAACAAAAAGACACGTTGATAGGAACTGGTTGAGCTCTGCTACAGCTCATCTCTCTCCTACTACTTTAGAAGGGACATAATTAAGCAGCAATAAAGTGTGAGAAAAATTAAGGACTGCCAGTCTCAAGCATTTAAAAAAGAAATCAACTTCTTCCCTAAAAAAGGAGTCAAATCAAAATGCAGCTTATTTTTTTTTAGTCAACCTTGACTTTTTTTAAAAAAGGATTCAAGTCTTTGAAGTTTGTGTTTTTGAGGCTCTCCCACAAAAATGCTCAATAATTTATTTTGCAAACTATAATGCTTGCTGAATGAAATTATTGTAGCAGCTGAGGCTTTAAGAAAATAATTGTATTATGTGTGCTGTGTTTTTAACATTCACTATGGTATTTCTCTGTGTTCTACAGATTTAGTTCAAGGGCAAAGGAAAGGACATACATGGTAAGGGAAAAATCTTTTCTGAAATATGAAATATATTTCTACAAGGTATATCACTCAGTTGTATAGATTTCATACATCAGAAGGTTTCATTTTGTATTTACAAAGCCTTGGGTACAAGGATCTGTGAATTCTGCTTCTCCCAAGTTATTTCCATAAGAGACAGGCACGAGAAGGTGAGTGCTGTTGGCTTATATGGCTTAGAGACCTGGCTCACTCCAGGAGTGTTCTTTTGAGCCACATTGCTGAAACCATTTCAGACAAACGTATACAAGAAAATTTGGTCTTCTATGACAAAAGAGTGGTGACTGCATCCATATAATGAAGGCTGAACAGACTTCATCTCATCAGTTCATGGTTGTTCCCAGAACATGCAGTGAAAAGGCAGCTGTTCAGTAGGAAAAAAACAAACCTGAGTTGCATGAGTAAGGTATGTCATGACCAGAAGAAAAAAAAAAGGTGGTTTGGGGACCAAAGCCAGCATATGACTAAATACCAGACAAGAGACTTGCTATACAATTTGATCTGCAACAAAGACATAAGATTTGAAGCGAAAACAACAATAAGCTTTAGAAACTTTAAAATACAACTTGGAGAAAGTAATCAAAATTACTTTTAACGATTTTTAAAAAACAGTCATTACAGTAACTCCAACACGGAATTCAGTTAGTTAAAGCATGAGAAAATTCTAGAAACCTTTCTTCAAAAAGATCTGCCAACCCAAAAAGATGATGCAGTATTAAAAGCACCTGTTTATTCAATATTAGAAAATTCAAAAGGGAAGAGGAAGGGACAGATTCCCCCTTTCACACAGGCACTTTTATAGCTGGAACAACTCTTCCAACTGCCAGTTACTTTCATTTCCAGTTTAAGGTCAGTTTTACTTACTGCAGTATGAAAAAGACCTCTGTGAAAGTTGTGTGGGTGCTGGCCTGGTTGTCATGTAAAACACAAGAAAATGAATCTGCCTGCTGCCATACTTTTTATTCATCTCCTTATACTTCCACTGACTCATATTCCTCCATGGTAGCATCTGATCCTAGAGGAGAGGCAGCTCTGTGTTTCAGCCTGGCACTAGCAAACTTTCAATAGCTGCTATACAGCAACAGTCTCACAAAACCTGCTGATCATGCAGGACTTTCTACCTAAGGGACAGAAGTGGTTGCTCCAAGACTTGCGGATTTACCCACAGTTCTAGTCTGGGATCTGTCACTGAGGTGGCAGTGTGTATTTGGGGATCTTCATTAAAATGTGGCTTTACTCCGTAACTGAAAGACACATCTGTAAAAGCGACTGGTTTGGAGTTGCATTCTACTGAGAGAGAGTAGTCTGCCTCTTCTCTTTCTCAGATTCACAAGGAACAACCGCAGGAAAATGTACTTATTTACCAGATTGAGACTCATAAATGAACACAATTACAAGGAGCACATTTTAGTTACCCACAGTAAAATGGCACATAGTCTTGGCCAGAAGGAGATAAGGCTTCCTTGCTCAATAACACAGAGAAGGCCTTGTCCAAAGATTGTACCAATGGAATTAAAGCAATTTGACCCTCCGGTGTGGTTTTCATTGCACAGGCACTAATGGAATAAAGGTGATTCTTACCTCTGGAGGATTATCTGCTTTAATTCCAGCAACTGCATCTGAGGTATGACTAAGCATTACTGTATAATTTTAATAAAAAGTCACTCAGACCAATCTATCCGTACCTCTAAAAAATTACGTGCGCTCCCACTTTCAGTTCAATGCTTGCCAAGTGTCAATACCTAGAACCACCACTTTGTTTTTTATTATATGTAAACCATGCTTACTCAAACATATCTCCTCAGAGACCTAGCTTGACATAGACATCTTAAGTGCATAGATACAGGGGTGTTATTTTTCCCTGGGTCACAGGCTATATTCTGAAATATTAAAGCAAAGAAAAAAGTCGTTCGATTATTAGTATTTCATTATTATACACTAATGTGTATCAAATTTATCACCAGATTCAGGGGAAATAGATGAAAACATATGCTCTTCATTTCAGAAAACATATTTATCCAATTCAATACCAACTCAAAAGAGAAATAGACACTGTCAACTCAAAAAAAAAAAAAAGTAACATGAAGAAAACAGACTATTTGTGATAACTGATAGTGACTGTTTTTATCCACAATTGGAGTTTCTCAGTATCTCTTTTTGGCTCCTCGCTTGCAAGTTCCCCTGCCCAGGTCCCAGTGGGTAGCTGAAAAGCAAGTTACTGTCTCTCTTCCTCTGGATTTCTAATTGAAATCCATCTTGCTTGCGATATTTCGTATTTCCAACAGCAATTGGTGAAAAGTCAGGATTTTCCAGGACTGAGCAAGTGACAATAAAAAGCACATGAAGATTCCTCTTCTGAATCACTGTCCAGAAGAGCCTACTTTTCTCCTATCTCTTTTCAGAGAGAATCTGCTAGGAACTCTGTCCCCAAGGAAATGTTTAGTGAGTTGATGCTTTTTTTAAAAAAACAAACAAGAAAAAAAACCCAAAAAACTCTAACCTAGGAAAAAGATAAGTCCCCTCTTCTAGGCAGTGAGATTGGTCAATGCCCAACTCCTATACATAGAACTGGACACTGTTCTCAATAAGTACAGAGGATCCTAGGCACAGGCAAACATACACTTATACACACAAGCACCCAAAGGCTTGGAGGAGTCACATCAGGAGGAATATAACTGAGGTGAAAGAAGATTAAATATCCTCAGGTAAAAGGGTCTTTCTGCTAACAAAACAGAAACATAACATCATGCCAAAATGACCAATGTGTCTGCCTGTCTTCTGGCTCAGTTATATCACAGTAGGCTGTTATGTCACAAAGCCTGGCCAATCACTCGTAAGGATATACTGATAAATAATAATTTATGTGACAATGCTTAACTTACATTTACATGTTGATGACATGTAACATAGCCTTCATTTGCCATCTGAAAGCATATGGAAGGCACCTATTCTGAAACTCCGAAGCGTGCTGCAGACCAGCTTCACAGCTTCTTTCTTTCATTAAGCCTTGACAAAGTGCTCTGGATCCCATCAGAACACTTAAAGCCATGGCACAAGCAAAGGAGATCACAGTAGCACAAATAAAAAGTTATCCCATTTAAGACACTGGAAAAGCCTCTATCTGAAACCCCACAAAGACATATACTAGGTCCACTATTATTGTGAAGCCATCGATAAGCTTTATCTCAACCACCTGAGTCAAGAATAATTTTTACAGTATTAAGTTCACAACCTGAAACCACAGCACGTAAATAAAAGCACCAGATAAAATAATTACAGCAATAATTCTGCTCCACATTGGAAGGGACACTATCACAGACAGATGTAGAACTTCTCCATTAAACACTGGTACTTAACATATCAAACATAAACAACATTTAGGGGAATAGAGCATACACAGGAAGGTTAATTTTCCATTTGGTTTAAAAAAAAAATCCATTTGGTTCCCCTTAAAACTACCAGTATTTCTACAGAGTACATTTATGAAGCAAGGCAAGACGACACCACAGCTGACATCCTCAAATCTGCAACATCTAAAACAATACTCTTAAACTTATTTTTAGAGAGAAGCTATTGTTTTTACAACCTCTCTGTGGTTAACCCTGCTCAAAGATTACAATTAAACCCACTTGTAAGCATCACAACAAAAATGTTTTGTTTTGCAAGCACTCATATCGAATAGAGACTTTATTAAGTTGTCTGCACATGAGTTCTGTACCCAGCTCCAGCCCTCAGAGAGCCTGCACTGCTGAGTGCTCTGCGAAAGATGGATGTTGAAAAGGCATATTCCTTCCTACTTCACAGTGAATGGCTTCTTTGAGGAAATGGGAGTATTAACTGTGATACAACTACTCTTCTTTTTTTTTTTTTTTTTTTTTTTTTTTTCTTTAAATTCTTTCTGAGAGAGATCACTGCTTCGAGGACCCACAGGCCCAGATATTATTCACAGACCACACACTGGGAGGAGATGCGCTGACCTCAGGTCTGTTACATCATATTAGTGTTACTCCACCCAGGATCTGAAGAGGTCATTTGGATGAAGTTTCAGAAGTTATCAAGAGGAGCCCACATAATAAACCACAAACTTGAGCTGATGCAATTTTGGAAGCCTACACAGCACTCAAAGAGAGGTCAATTTTTTTCCTGTTGTCTTTTGCTTTTGTTTTTAATTTATATTACAGATTTCCTATTCCATTGCCAAGTCCCATAGAAATGAAACAAAACTTGTAGCTATAGTCATTTATCTCATCTATCATTTAGAACAGCCACATAAAAAACAAATGCCCTCTGGAAGGCAGGGCCTGCTGAGCCCTGCAAGCTGGACGTGAGGTTCTGCTTCACACAAGCAGAGAGCCCAGGCTCTCCCACTTCTTTTGTGAGCAGGTTTCCATGTTCTTCTCTCTTAAACAGGACTGAAAACAAACATGGAAAGACTAAAAGCTGTGCTTTCATTTCTTTGTTTCTCAATCTACTTACAGACATCCTTTCACGTGTCCATAGGGCAGAAGTAAGAAGTAACAGAGAGGGTTAACGGCTTCACTACTGTTGACTGACATTAAAGCCAGGGCAGACGTGGGCTTTCATTAGACAGCAGCTGCACGTATACAAACCACAGCAATCTTCATCCAGAGAGCAAGAGTGTGAATACAGATCTCTTGCAAAAACAGTATATTTAATCTACATTTATCTACATTTTTAGGGGGAAAGGCCTTTAGCAAAATTTTGCCCAGGAGCCCACAGGAGAAGGGAGGGAAAGTATACATACACTGAGGGAAAAAAAAAAAAAAAAAAAAAAAAAAAAATCAGAAAAAGGCATTAAGAATGTAAACAGAAAAGAATAAAAATAACCACATAGATCAAGTTACTCAGCACCAAAGCAAAACTGTAAAGTTTTCCATTACCTTTCACAGAATGGAGCTCTCCCACTGAGCAAGGCTCCAGCTGTTCTCTTGGCTTTCCCTTGAGCATTGATTATGCTGTACATCCTACAAATCCCCACAAAACATGCATTTATTTGTAGAATATCCCAGCTGTTCAGTAACTCAGGTACCCAGTTTGCTAGAAATACCACAGAGAAAGAAATCATGAACATCACGCAGTTAATTCTGACTGTGGTCCACTGCGTAGAATTTGGAGGTTCCCTCAGAGGAAGGAGATGAATGCAGAGGAAGTGTTGCTGCCAGACAAGGCAGGTGCTGTGTTCTCTAAGCAGCAAGACCCTACAGCTGCTCCCTGACAACAGAATGAAACGGAGGCTACTTATTTAGGTCCAGAAATTCTATTAAGCTTGGAGCCCACACACTGATGTATATACTTGAGTACTACCAACAGAACAACTTTTTGGCACTTCTTATTATCCAGGCTAGAGTGCTCATGCCCTACTCCATCACCTGGTCTGCTTATGCAATGTAAGTAGGTGCAACACACTCACGTTATCAGCTTCTCTCAGATCTAAGACTTTAAATCTTTAATGGGATTTGAAAGTAGAGAATAGGGTGGATATCACATATATACTGCCAACACATCCCAGATCCTTCTCCTATGAGGACTGCCCACGTGCCATTTAGGATGCCACTACCCATCCCAGTACGGATAGCAGTATGGATCACCTGGATGAGAAACCCCCAACACTCAAAACAAAAGAGAACTATTGCTATGTGATGAAAAGCACAGCGATAGCAGCCAAGCAGCAAGGTTCTAGGCTGCAGCAAGCAACCTAGGCATTTGAGGATTTGCTCAAATGCAACAGCCATAGGCACAGAAACAAAGGAAAGAAGCTGCTTACCTTCAGAAGACCTCAGGCATGCAGAGATCTCCAGCAAGATACCCTTACCTTCCCTGCCTAGCCTTAAATGAGGTCTGGGAAGGGTGGAGCCAGGATCCACCCCTTCCTGACACTCAGATGCACTGCATGCACCTGAGCTCCCTGGGTTGGCCCTGCCTTTCCACCAGGTGCTCATTGTAGACATGACTTAGCATTTCCACTACAGAGATGGAGAAAAGGTAAATCCTACCAAGAACTGCAGCAGCCCTGGACATTCTTCTTACAAGACTGCAGCTGTGCCTCATGAACAGGATGGTAGCTTATGCAATCACTCCCATGACAGCTCTGACATACCTGATGTCCAGGCAAAGCACTGAGCATTCTTCCTATAGCATCAGGAGGCAAGCAGAGATGTTTAAAAATAGTAAAGCCAAATCCAATTTGATTAGCAATGTCTCATAGGAATAGACACTTTCACTGTGAAAAACCTCATCACCTTTTTCCTACTGAAAAACCATGGTGAAAACTCAACACTGAGAGGACAAGCAGCTAGCAGAGCTGAAAAAACTCTGGTCTTTCATACATTTCCACAATTATGTATATAAAAGTCTTAGGATCTTCCTTCATAAAGGTGCATAAATGTGGAAACTCTGACCATCCACATTGATCTTAAGTGGACCATCGCTTGATAAAGATTATGATGCACCTTCTGTTTCATTTGTGCCTGAGATTCAAACTTTCTTCATTCCCTTAACGTCCCAGTAATGGCTTCCAGCACTTCTATGTGCAGGAAACCAGCTAGCAATGTATTTAATAAATTGCAGCTTCTTCAATTCAACCTGTCAGCAGGAAATAGCCACTTTGTGTGTTGGTGCTTCAGGGATCAATTGCCACCATCTGATACATTGCTCATAGACCTTAGAGGCAGCGCATCAATCACAAGCACAGACTGTATAATATGTCAGTTAACAGCAATGCCTCCAAAAGAAATCCTTCCATCCCAATCTTCAACTACAAAATACTGTGCTATGCCATTTCTTAACATCTATGCTAAGCTGCAGTTACTTTTTCATGTATCTTCTTTTGCACAAAGCACACTGAAGTGGGGAGTGATAGCAAGGTCAGATTTGTTTTGGAAAAGTCCAAAAGCTTTTCTGCAGCACAGTTATTAGCAGGGCTGTGAGAAGGCCCAGTGGCAATGATATATAGATAAACATCTGCATTCCTTACATACCACAATCATTTTTTCTTCAAGTAGAACTTCACACTTCCAATGCTGAGCACTGTGTATGTGTCAAATAGACACCCACATTCTCTCTCCCCATTTGGTGTCAGGTATCCATCTGATAATTTGCTTTTGTATTATGAAGAGCCATGACTGACTCAGTGATCCTTTCTTTAGATTTGGCAAAGCTCCCTTGCACGCTGAGCAAACATTCAGTCCTCTTACAATACTATGCTAGCTGACTCTTTAGTCAAAACGTATTCCACTACCATAGAGCTGCACTGCAAAGATATCCAGCAATTTTATGCACCGTCTACATAAAAAATAAATAAAGATTGAATTACATTCCTGAGTCCAGGATCCTCTTGCACTATATGAATGTAAGTATTTAATTTGGCTTTCCCTGTTTATGTTAGTTTGTTTTAGTTGCTCTATGTCTTACCCAACCACAAGAATGCAACATAATTGGACTTATTCAGTACTGTTTCTTTGGCTGCTTTTTGCTTCCCAGGAAAAAAAACGTTTTTAAAAGAAAGTCTAAAAGTGTTTTTTGTTCTTCAGTTGTGAAACTAAAAACTAGACAAACAACCAAAAGAAATTTCATACTGAGAGCCTGCAAATAAAAGCATAGAGGTAAAAAAAAAAAAATAATAATAATAATAATAATAATAAAAAGAACTGATTGTAGCATTAGCAAAAGACAGCAGATTGCCAGCCTGCAGAGACTGAAGTCTGCTGCTCACTCTGGAACAGTGCTGTACCCCCCCAGAACTCTTTTTGGCAGCATGAGTTGGTTTATAGTGGGCATGGGGGAGAAGAGGAAGAAATCACAGGACAGTGATGCACTGACCATCCCTGGGAAGGTTTATTTCAGCTTGTCAGAACTGGGAGGTACCAGAGTCCTACTTCAGTGCCCTCTGTAGGAAACGGGAAGAGGAAATGCTGTTGGCTGCAGAAGGAGCAGGTGCAGGTGGTAGGAGAGGCTCAGACAGCTGTCAGCACTGCAGAGCCTCAAGCCCAGCAGCAGGGCAGACAGTAGCAGACCAAGTGGCTCCTTCACTGCACCTGTCCATAGTCGGTGTCAGTAGGTGGGGGCTGGGGGCAGCTGGTCGGCCACAAAGGTTATTGGATGAACTTCTGAGCTGAAACCACCTCATTACTCCACATGACTGTCCAGCAAGGCTCCAGAAGCTCTGTCACTAGAAGGTCACTTTGAGAGCAGCACCTGGCAGCGGGTTTGATGAGTGGCTCTCTGGATGTGGGCAGTTACCTACATGGGGCTTCTTGCAGAGCCAGACTCCAGTTTCAGCAGACCTGGAGTTGGGACCATATGCAAAAGCAAGTCTTTCCATTTAGCAACCCAAGCCAATGAGCTGTCAGAAGTTCAACACCTACTCTTCTACACCTAAACTTCTGACTGCCCATTCATCCTGCCATTTCACCACACTACAGATAATTGTGTGATTAATTTAGCTTCTTAAAAGTAAAGGGTTTCCAAATTACAGGCTGTGTTTTTATTAGCAGACATTTCTAGCGAGAGAGAGAAGAGGCCGGTAGGAGCAGAGTTGTTGCTGGTGTAAGCCAGTTCGCCCCATTGGTTTCAATAGTATTGTGCCATTCTGCACTTCTTCAGAAGCTGGCTTTGTTTTTTTAACCTAATTTAGAACAGTTGAACACTTGTAGGGTTTTTTTTTTTGGTTTTGGTGGAGGAAATTTGCATGAGTATCAATACCTACTGTGTCCAAGTAATGACATAAATCCAGAGAGTATCTTAAGTCTCAGGTGTTCTCTGACAGATTCCACCTTTCTGAATTCAGAGTCTGAAAGCTTTTGGGAAAAGGGAGAGGCTGGGGATGAGGGAGTCTGCAGGAGGAACTGCTACTTGAAAGCCAGGCTTTGAAGGAAAGAGGGGAATCCTGGGATCCATGACACAAGGGGGAAGTTAAAGGAATAACCTTGGCCTCAGAGATCTTGAAGGGCATCAGAAAAGTTTAAGGGAGAAGCCACAAAAATCTGAGGCAATAGGAGAGAAACCTTGTGACAAAGGTTAAATTTGTTATCTTCCCTTAGATTCACAGGTGTCAAAAGGCACATAAAGCTCTCCTAAAAAGGCACTGAGGATTCCCCTACAGCACAGTTTGTCTAGCAAGATAAACTCTGCATAACTGATCACTCACAACCAGTTCCATGTCAAGAATGCTGACAGCTTTTCAATGCAAAGTGCATGGTCAGGGTCAGGGCTGGAATGTGAAGTCTGCCCCCCCCAGACACAGGCAGAGTGCTGGGAGCAAGTCCAGCCAAGGGAAGTATGGGGCAGCCCCACAGATACTCGTGCCTATTTCAGTGAAATGTGGTAAGTGAACAACAACCAAGATAAATCGTCAGAGGAAGCAGAGAGCAGCAGTACACCAAGCAAGCTCTCAATTAGGAGATGTTTGTAGTTTCAGATGTGCCACCCAGAAGCCCCAAATCGCTTGCCACATTTTAGAATATTGATTTTCCTATGCTGTGTCTGAAAAAGCTGCATCTAGACTCAGAAAGCTTATTAATTGTATTGATACTGCAGGAATGTCAGATCTTTACATTTTGTAATTGTTTATAATTGGAAATTTAGTTGTGCAAGTATTTGAAATAAATTTATTCTTTGTATTGTTTCAGTTCTTTGTTGGTTATGAGTACCGTGAACAAAATTGATTCTATACTCAGTTTTTTTTAAATGCGTTTACAATAAGCACTGCATCAGCAAAATAAGGAAAAGCCAGAGAAGAACAACAACATAAAGCAGAGCAACACCCTTCTGAGACAGAATGCACAGCAACACCCATCAGCAAAAGCAGAATAATTTGTCACAACTTTTATATCCAACCATTCCCTGTTGCAGGATCTAACGCATAAGTATTTTGTAGATGCCATCTTCTGAGGAGGTGAGAGAATTAATTGATTGTATAATGCTGTGAGCTAAATAACATAACTTGGGAAACTATTCCTAAATTAATTTATATTTCTTTACTTATTATGTCATAATTTCTTTACTTATTACATTGGCAGTTGCATGAAGAAAAGTGAATAAGGTAACTATTCACTGAAACATTTCTGATAAGCCCAAAACAAGCATAGGAGATGTAAATACATGACTATTCAGATCACTGAGGCCAAAATCAAAGTAGAAATAGCTTTGTTAACTGCGCCATGATCATAAAGCTGAGGAAGCATTGCTATCCTTGAGAAGCACCAAATTTAAATTCGGTGGCAAGATGCTTACACGCCTACAGAGGTCATGCTGTCATTGCTGATGCAATGCTGCCCTCTAGCAATTGAAAACCAAGGCACAAGATTCGCAAAGGTTTTCTCACAACAGAGGTCTTTTCCTTCCAAAAAGTGCTGTTTCACACATCTGTGCTTGAAACTGCATTTTAAAGCTCTCATAAAGCTTCTATGCTAGTGGTGTTTGTCCTTGGTGAGGAGAAACAGTAAAACTGGCTACTTACTTGCACTGATGAAAAAGAAACTGCATCTTATGTGGAAAATCTACCACTTTGTAAAGATACATACACCTGACTAGTCTTTGTCCCCATTAGAGCACCTTAATGCATCAGCAGATCAGTCTCCAGCCATTTGCCTCTAGTACAAGTGGCACCACGTGAAAGGCAGTCTGGAATCAATGCATTCAACCATTGGCTCTACATGCCTCCAAAGACTATGGCAGTACCTGGTCATTTCTTCTAGCATTCCATGGCCAGGGCACTTTCCAGTTCAAGGCTGGCACTATAAAACCCGGCCACACCAGACCACAGTCATGGGGTCTGGCACATTCTGCCTGTCTCA